TTGAATGCCCTATGGTGGATATGACTCGACTGCATGAAGAGGAAGCGAACTTGCTTCTGGCCATTTCTTCCCTTGAATTGAGATACAATACGTTTCAAGACAGAAAGCGTCTTTTATTTGGGCGACAGCTTTCACCCGGAAGTAAAGTTAATGTGAAAATGAAAGTAGCTTCAAAGGAACTTCGTGGTGTCGTATGGTACAAGGGTGAATTACCCCCTTATCTCGGAACATGGTTTGGAGTACAACTTCTTGTAAGTAAACACTAGGTTGATACATGTATGGAAGCTTCTTTCAGCACCCAGGAGTGTATTGAAAGTAATGATTTTTTAAGGAGTTCTGTAAAGTTTGAGTTTGTAGAGTGCAATTCTTGGTCTCACTGTAACTTACTCAAATCTGAAGACTTGTGAGTCCTTGCACATAACTTTTCTGTTTCATTGCTTACAACATGAGGTACTTTCTAGAAGGTTTTCTCTATGCAAGGAGTTATTGGATCCTGTTCTGCGAAAGTTCCCCTAACATAGGCCAAGGTTATTTAAAATTGTTTGTTTCTGGAAAATGTATTTTAAACCTACCCTTGCATTGAAAGCATGGAGTTTGCCAAGAGACTGACTATAGTACCATAGCAAGCCTCTCAGCCTTTAAAATAACAGTGAACTGAAAAGTAAAGTTGAAAAACAGACAATTGAAGACTATATTACAATGGAATGATGGTTTGTTATGATTTAAAAACAAAAGAAGATATGAGATCATGGCCAGGGATGCAAAATACCATCCTGGGATTAGCTTTTGACAAGGCGTTATGTCAACCTCACTTTTAAAGGGAACTTAATTTTGAATGAGAGGTACTAAAAAATAAATCGAAATTGAACGGTTTTGTCATGGAAATGCTTTTAAATGTTGGATTGGTAAGAGTATATTGCTTGTTAGATAATTGTCTTTTTTGTGGTTATTTTGTATGTTCATAGCTTAGCCCTAGCAAGAAGTGACTTTGGATACCCCACCAGTGTATGCTTATTAGATTGTATTGCAGTGACAAAGTATTCAATACATAAAAGTTACCCAGTGATGGTTGTGGATGGGTTTTCCAACACTATGTCATCTGCTACAGAGTCAGAGAGATTTATCTGGGGCATCAAAACCACACTTTGTGTTGCTGTTCTTGATAGGGCATTTCATCGCTAGATTTATCTTATTAAGAAAAAGGAACCTCCTCTATCGGGTCTTGTTCTCCATATAAGACTGACACACAGAAGTTGGGCAGAGTTGCTGAAGCATAAAAGCCCTAGTTTACAAGATAGAATAGTGAATTCTTTTTACACAAAGCTTTCAGCAACTGTTGACAAAGCTTTTAATTTACTTGGAATACTGGGAATACTGGGAAGAATACTGGGAAAGCAACTTGAGGAAGCTTGTTGGCTAGGTAGAAGTTGCTGAAGGTGATCAAATATCCTGATGAAAGCTAAGGTGGCTGGGTCAGGGACAAGGATCACCAGTCAGAAAAAATTCAAATTAGTGAAAAGTGAGGAGGTTATTTTAAAAATAAGGCACCAAATATAGAATTAGAAAGATGGGGAGTTTTGACCTCAGTAAAGAAACAGAGGAAGATGTTTTTTGTCTTGTCACAAGTATGGGACAAAAATAAAAATTCTTAAGTCCAGTGAGGAATCAAACCTCAGGCTTTCTGATGCCACACTCCAATGCTCTACCACTTAGCCACAGAGACTCCATGTAAAGCAAGGTCCATTACAAAGTTCACATATGACGTGTGTCCTGCACACTACTAGGACTGCAATCTCAGCAGGGTTTGACACCTGGCTACCTGCATTACTAGCCACCGGGCTGTTGATTTCTAAAATTTACTAGCCCGAAACACAACTTGGTAGCCCGGATTGATTTCTCTTGGGGTCTACTTCAACCCCAAACATGCAAACCTTCCTCTAAACTTATTGGCAAGGTCTTTTAAAAATTAATGATAAAGAATGGCATTTTTTCTTTCCTTGTGAGAACATGATATGCTATTCAAGGAAAAATCTAAGTAAATTTTCAAGTGTGAGGCATTCATGTGAGGCAATGTGCAAGGCATCGCAACATTGATATGGAGAAGACTGGGGAAGACATTGACCATTAAACGCAGAATGTGGCGTCTAGTTATGTTTATGATTGACATGCAAGACAAAAAAAGACTCCAGAAAATGAAAGGTTTACGCGTTCTTCATTGGTATTATCATTACGATTTAAACTTTCTTGTTTTTTTTAATCAGCTGTGAACTTTCAAGTAAACTAACTACATATAATTTCTTTTAATTTTTCTACTAGCCAGCAGGCTATTCAATGTAGTTTTTTACTAGCCTGACCAAATTTTTACTAGCCTCAGGCTACTGGCTAGCAGAGATGTCAAACCCTGTGTCAGTAGTGTCATAATTGTAAATAGAATAAGAGAGATGGTAAGTTTTGAGCTCTGTAAAGAAATAGAGAGACCAAACATTTTGAAAAATAATGCATGTTTCATTTGAAGGAAAATGTGGCATGCACAGGGTAGTATTTACTTACAATAGTGAAATATATTTTAAAATTATACTTAAGTTGTTGCATATTTTAAATCTTGTGATATGAAATGAGACTAAGAATTAATATTTGCTGTTTGCTTGGTATAATTTTCCAGACCCCTGGGCAAGGAACATCTGATGGAACATTTAGAAACAGGAAGTACTTTGAATGCATGAAGGATTCAGGAGTTTTTGTGCAACTAGATAAACTTACACCACTTGAAGATTCACCTGAGAATCAAAATGTTAAAAGGAAAGATGGAGCCCCCCAGGCTTCTTTTACATCATTTATTAAAGATTCATTACCATCCTTTAGAAAAGGAAAATATGAACAAAAGTCATCCATGGAAATGACTGAACATGGACTTGAAATTGATCAAAGAGTTGTGGTATTCATACAGGATAAACCAGCTAGAGGAAGTGTCCGGTATATTGGTGATGAAAATGGTAAAAAAATAGTAGGACTGGAAATGGTAAGTATTAGTTTTGTAGATAAATGTTGGTACCCTCGTAAGGGAAGGGGTCATAATCAGAAAACTGTTGTGTCGTTACTGGCCCTCATTATCAGCATCAGACCCCTGGCAGACCTTTCGCTGATTTGCATGGCCCAAGGCTTTGTACTATCTTGGGGGTGAAGAAACACTTCTTCCTAATCACTTGAAATGAGGGCCTGCTCATAGGTTACGTTTGCCATAAGTTAAGGGTGAGAGAAAATTCTCTCACTCCTTGCTATCAGTTTTATTTACGTAACCTCTTAAATCCCAGAAGCGATTAACCTGTAACTTCTCTCTATAATATCCTTACATAATCCAGCAAACAGATCATGAGAATACTCAAACTTATCAGTTAGAAGTTGTTACCTTGATTGAACACCAAATTCTTGTAACCAATTTACAAGAGGGGAGGAATTCATAATCAGATCTTAGGATTTAATCCAGGTTAAAGGGTCATGATTTTACCTGTAGTACATCTTTACTGCAGTTTGTAGAGAAAGTCGCAAAATATACTGTATATATTGTATAGATAACCACTTCATCTGGGAACCAAGTGGTAAATTTTTCGTATGTAGCACATGTGGGGATTTGG